AGTGGGTGGGATGGAGGGGCCCCTTCACCCAGGTTCTCATGTAAATGTTGTGGGCAAGACGATGACTGTCCTGCTGCCAGTACCCCCACCCCAGGATGTCCCAGGGCCGGAGCAGAAGATTGAACCCAGGTTCACTTCTGCTGGTGGGTCAGGCTCCATGCCCCAACCTGTCCTCTTGTGAAGGCACAGACTTTTCCAGGGTGTTCCTCGCCCATTCGTGCTCATCTGCCCCTACCCTTGCTGTGGTCACTGGCCAGAAACCTGCCCTCTCTCTAGAGTGCCCTAGCACCCGGAAGCGGAGGCCGGCAGAGAAGAGAGCCAGAATCTAGATGTTGGAGAATCTGACCTTGAGGGTGTTCAGAGAGCATTCTCTAGGTGCTGTGTGGGCACTCAGTCCCACCTCCCACCACTTGCCTCCAGCCACTGGTGATTCAACGGCCCTTCTCCCAGGAGAAGACACCTCAGGGAGCCTGCTCTGTGACCATCATGTCCATCCTATGACTTGAGACTGAGGGACGCTGCAGTCGCTCTATGATCCATACTCCACTCTGGGAGCCGTGTGTACCATGAAGAACTGTCCCCCTGGCTGCTAGCGGGCCATGGCTGTCTGTGCTCAGTGTCTGTTGTGTTGGGGGATAATTAGAAACATGACTTTTACGCTTGTGTGTGACTCCGTGGCACATAGTAACGGGCCCTTTCTAAACTCTGGGACGAGGGCCCTGTAGATCCAGACTAGACTTTCTGTGTCCAAGAGTGGCAGATATTGCCGGGATGGGAATGGGATGAGGTTCCAGGATGGTGGCCCTCTGGGTCCCTGGTGCAGTTGGGGCGAGCCACCTATGTGATTAGGCACTTAGTTTACTTTGCTGCGAAGCAGAATGCATTTCTGGCAGCCGACAACTCAGAAAAGGTGCTTACTCTGTACTCTGGTTCATCCCTCCTCACCTTAGTCTTGAGCCTTGGTCCCATGTCCAGTTATCCAAAGATGTCACCATCTTTTCTCTCTGCCCCACCTTTTCCCAGACCCTCCTGCCCCCAACGTCTCCATGGTAACCTCTGTTTCTGCCCCAACACACTCAACACCTGAGGAACCCCAAACATCCGCACTTGCCCGCCTCCTGCCTTCGTGCCTGCACAACCATCATGGGCTCTGCCACACGGCACCTGTCACTTGGCAAACAGAGAAACCAAAGCTCAAAGGAGTGGCGTGATCCTTCCAAAATTACACAAGCAGCTGTGGTGTCCTGCAGGGCCAGAAACCCAGGAATGAGGTCAAGACCCGGGTTTGAATCCGAGTTCCACCTCTTCCCACACAGGAATCTCGGCTGTCTGTAAAACACAAAGAATGAATCCATTCACAAGATTGTTGTGAGAACAATTGCAAAAACAACCAAAGCGACAGCATGCCTACCTCTTCGTTCTGATTAACGGAGCCCTGGGGCTGGGTCTCCGCGGTCCCCCCTTCTGCTTGTGGAGCATGCTTGTCCACGTGCCCACCTCTCCCCTTCCCTCCTTTAAGTCCTCACACATCCCTACCCCTGCCTCCTGTTGGGGGCCCCCTCCTGGCCCGGGGGTGAGGGTGAGTCCAGTGATTGAGAGGCCGGGAAAGGGAAGGGGGAGTGTTCTCCCTCCTCTTGGCCCCAGTCAGGATATGGTCGCTCTGGGCCCAGCCCTGACCCGCTGGGTGGAAACAGGAAATATGTGAGACTTGGTGTTCGCTGGGTCTCTGTGCCTGGCTCCACAGCTGATAAGGGCCATTGTGTGGCCACCGGGGATGAGCCTGCCCTAGATAGACATGCTGCTCAGAGGAAGGAAGGAAGCTTTGCTGGCCTTTCCTGGGCGGGGGAAGCCGTGGGGAGGGAAGGAAAGGGTGCCCCGGGGGGAAGGTGCCCATCCAGGGGGCTGTCAAGGCCAGCACCAGCCCGCTGGACTCCACCCCTCCCAGGCCAGTGCCTCTCTCTGGAAAGGTCACTTTTCCCCATCCTCTTTCCCTTCTCACTTCCGATAAGGAACGGCTGAAGACCTGAGGGCTCACTCCCAGGCCAGGAAAGTGTCAGCTGTGATTTAGCAACAATAAAGAAGAAAACAGGAACGCTGGGGGTGAGGGGCACCTGAGGGTGCTATGGAAAAGTAAGAAGCCGACAGGGCTACAGCTGCCCAGAGCCAAGGAGTCTGGGGACCAACTTCCCAAGCATTAAAGGCTCCAGAGGACGGTGGGACGGGGGCCTCCTCCCAGTGTCATCCTGCCTCTCTGGCTAAACCCCCTCTGTTCAACATGGCCAGCCCCCAGCAGCTCTGGCCTCTCAAACTTAAGGGGTTTGCCTGCTGCTGGGGGAGGTAGGCACGCTGGGGGAACATGCAGGAGGGGCAGTGCCTATCGATGGATCCTGTTGGCTTAGGGCGGGATGTGCTTCTGGTTTGGGGAACACTGAGCTCTGCGGCTGACACCGGTGAGTGGGCAGCAGGAGAGGCCTGGCCATGGAGCTGCTGCGGCGAAGGACCCTCCTAACCTTTGACCTGGAGGCCAGGGTCCGCCACGGGTGGCTGCATCAGCTCCTCTGGTTACCTGGGACAACAGGCATTTCCTCCATCCCTCGGCCCCTCCTCTTCCTGCCCCAACCCGCTGGGCCAAGAGGCCTCCCAATCAGACCTGGGCTGCTCCAGCTGTGTCCTGAGGAGCTGGACCAGACACATCCCCCGGGGCCGGAGTTGAAGCCGAACCAAGTGGCCATCCCAGTGTGAGACCAGATTCCTGACTCCGGGAGCAGCCAGAGCCAGTGGGCAGGCAGGCTTTTGCTCAGCACACTGGCTCTCCATCGGCAGAATGGCACTGCAAGTGGAGCTGATACCCACTGGGGAGATCATCCGCGTGGTTCATCCCCACAGGCCCTGCAAGCTTGTAAGCTGGGATGCCCTGGGCCGGGAGGAAGGGTGGCAGCATCTCCCCAGGGCCCAGCAGCTCCCTCTCAAGCAAGCCCCTCGGGAAAGAGGTGAGCAGTGGGGAGGGGTTCTGATCTTTGGCTGGACAGGAACAGACTGGACAAGAAGGGGTAAATGAAAGGAAGGGGTAAGAGCTTAAGCACCTCTAGGAGCAGGGTTTTTCTAAGCAGGATCTAGGTTTGAATCCCTTCTCTCCCAGCTCCCTGATCCTCAATAGGCTGGGCTATAAACTGGCCCTAACACGTAGGTGACAGGACTGCTCTGGGGCCAAAGGACGGGCGGTGCATGTAAAGCTCCAGACGCATAGTACAGGTTGAATTAATGCCTCCGCTTCATTCAGCCCAAAGAACCAGGACTGGCCAGCTCAGAGCGGTAGCTTGGGCAGGGAAGGAGGGGGAAGAGAGACAGGTAGGCACAAGTGGGGAAGAGCTGAGCTGGCCTGGCAAAAGCGGGGCGGGGGTCGGGTTTGCTCTGAGGATGCAAATTGGCCCTAGGATGAGGAAATGCATCCCCTCGATCCCAGCGCTGCAGCGAGTGGGCCAGGTGTGGAGAGAGTGTGTGTGTGTGTGTGTGT